AACACATTTGAATAAAAATAGACACAACGTTTGAAAACATAGAATAAAAGATATTTTATAATTTTACCTGGTCTACTCAGAGAACGTTTGGGTAAACATAATACATATTATACTGAAATACTGAATATTACTGAAGTTTTTGAAACCCGTTATGTTAAAAGGTGTATTATAGTTAGTAATTTTAAATGTATATATATATATATATATAATATAGTGAATTTAGAATAAAGATGATATAAAATACACTTATAAAATAAATACGAGCGTAACATTTTTTGTTGTGCCAACCATAGGCGCAATTTTAACTTTTGACTTGTGGGGGGGGGGGGGGGGCTGACCATTGCAATATAGCATATTAAAATTGTATGTCCTAGGTTTTGGGGGGCAATTTCGGGGAGTTCTAACAAAACTATTTATTTAAAATAACCCATGTAGGGCTTTTATCTAAATCAATAAGGGATATTTGTTTGGGGCTAAATCTTAGTCAGGAGAGGCTAATCCCCCCCCTAGTTCAGCCAATGATTGGCACATCATATCCAATTACCTATAATAGTATACTAATTTTATATGATGGTGTTAAAATAGTTTTAGATCCATGGATACTTTTATTTTTACTGGTAAATAAAAAATTTTAAGTATTTATAAGGCGTGGAATATTTGTCGATATCAAACCGTAATATATTACTAGCACAGGTATATTACATTTTTTTAGTAAATTGTATATTTTATTACATTTACCAGAAACATTAATTCATATTTTTAGCATTCTCATCGGCTAAATAGTTTAACATATTATGTCATATACCATCATTACTAAATTCATTATTTATAATTTTATGTGTTTTATGCTCCTTCTTAATTATGCCAAAAACCAAATCCAGAAAATGTCTTTGGGAAGCAAAAAAAATTAGTATTTAGTATTTACCATTTTCTAATTTTCTGAACATACAGTTTTAATTTAAATTGAATTTTACAAATATTCTAATTCACTTAATTAATAATTTACTTAAGTCGGACACCGCTTGGGTTAAATATAATTCATGATGTCGATCAAAAACCCAGTCGTACAACCTAGGTAAGGTACGGCATAAGGAGGCACTAACTTTTGCCTGCTCGTCCCTCAAACAGCTTATTAAGTAAAGAATAATTTGATAGTTCAATTCGTGTTACTTGTTCACTTTTCATAAACTCTATATTAACATTTCAATAATTAAGATTTATCATTTAAAAAATAAACGTTAATAGCTTTACCTTCAGTAACAGCTCCTAGAGCTAAAATCCTAGATTCTCTGACTACCCAAGCCTTAGAGGAAAATCATGGGATTATATTATGTAAAATTAGTATGCTAACAGCATTATATCCTTTAAATGCTTCAACTATTTCAGTTAGAGTACCAGCACTATACTTTCCTATATTATGTCAATTGTAATTGAGTAGGTAAACAATAGTTTAAATTTAAAAGTTCAAAACTCACTTAAATTGTTTACACTAGTTAAACAAAAATCGTCTTCATCATTTTGAATGATATTAACCTTACAAAATATTATTATAATTTTTGAAAATCTTAATTTTAAAATTACATATTTGTAAGGATTAATCTGTAATAAATAATAATACTTACTACATTGGTACTAGGGAGGTATTGCATCCTATTAATAAGTACAGGTATTACTCCACGTAAAATTGGTTCTATGTTAATTAAATATATAGTATAAATTTATCTATGTTAAAAACTTCAAAATCGGCTGGTCCTGATGGTCTGCCAGGGACACGTTTATATATAACATAAAATCCGCTCTCTGTTTTCCATTGTGGTTGATATATCATCACTCCCTTGACACGAGAACTTTCCCATCTATGTTTAAGATTAGTTCAGTCACGCCTGTATATAAGTCTGGTAATAAAACTGATGTAAAGAATTATAAGCCTATTTCGATCCAAAATCATATTGCCAAACTCTTTAAGTAGCTTGTTCTGAAGTGTATTCAGCCATCGATTAATTCTATCTTAGTTGATAAACAATATGACTTTAGGCCTAGCCGCTCTGCTACTACAAATCTGTTAGTTTTTCATAATTTTGTATTAGAGGCCATTGAAAAACGGACTCAGGTGGATGTAATTTTCACGGATTTCTCCAAAGCGTTAGATCGTGTTGACCATAAAATATTAATTGAAGTTCTATATAAAGCTGGATTTGGGGATCCCATCCTATCTTGGTTCAAATCAAATTTATCTGGTAGGTTCCAATGTGGCAAAATTTTAGGATGTAAATCTGAAGCATTCGTGTACCTTCAGGTGTTCCGCAAGGGGGAACTTATTCCCGTTGTTGTTTTCTCTATTGGTTAATGGTCTAAATTTTTTCATTCCAGATTCTTTGTTCATTATGTTTGCTGACGATTTAAAAATCTTTAGGGTAATTGAGTAAGTAACTGATTGTGTTAAGCTCCAGAAAGAGCTTGATGTTCTTGTTTTGTAGTTAAATTCTCTGGGACTAAGCTCCAATATAGGTGAATGTCAATCCATGACTTTTGCCAGGAATAGAAATATTATTAACTACAAGTACTTGATAAATGGATCAAGCATCAATATTGTTACTAAGAAGAAAGTCTTGGGTATTCTTTTCTGTCCGAATCTCGATTTTCATTAACATATAGAGGCAGTTTTGTCAAAATAATTTAAGCTCTCTAGTTCTCTCAAAGCTCTATATTGCTCTCTCGTACGGCTTCTTTTAGAATATTCTCCCATTATTTAGGACCCTTTAACGGCATCTGACTCTTCTTGCATTGAGAGTGTCCAGAGTCGTTTTTGTTCTTCGGCGTCATTTATTTTACAATATCTCATGATTATAGGCCAGTAATGAATAATCTTAAACTCTTGTCTCTAGCCGATAGAAGAGTTAAATCTAAGCTAATCCGGAGTTTTGCATAATCTGATTGACGGGCGTGTGGATGCTCCCTTTCTTCTTTCTCTAATTAATTTTAAAGTTCCTACTTACTTAACTAGGTCTTCCTTTGTTTTTGATTTTTTTTAAAAATAGGTTTGATTGTGTATTATATGTAGTGTGTATTATTATTATATTATGTACTTAAACCAGCAGCGTAAAATATGTATTAATTTACTAAAATATAATGATCCAATCATATTTAAAGGACCATTAGCTCACTATTGATTCATTAAATGTTTAGTGATTGTTATTTGTTTAATTAAATTTTTTCTTGTCAATTAGGCTTAGGTCTTAGTATTTATTATTTATTATGGTTCTTAAGCCAAATGTATTACTATTGACTATAGTAGAATAATATTCATACTTTATATATTTTCTGAGCGTAGCGATGAATGTATTGATTTTACAATGATGTGTTTTTTTTATTTTTGTGTTTTATTTTTGAAGACAATTTCTTATACCTATTTAGATTAAAAATTCTCAGTTCTTTTTAAAATAATCGAAAAAATATGAATTTTTTTTTAAAATGTTAATATTATTATTAAAATATATTTAAAAATATATATAAATATAAATAAAATATGACATTTATAAATATATATATTCATATATAAAACTGTTTGGTTACTAAAAAATTAGATTGTCTTCCCTCAGAATCGTTTTTTATCATAATAATGAATCTTAATACAACATTCCAATAATTACTGCGTGATGCCAGTGATGTATTTAAGGAGGGGGGATCAACCTTCTCCCCCAATGGGCTGTATTCATTATTCAAACGTTTTTAGGACCTAAATTAAGGCATCTAACTTTAAATTAGGGGTTACAGGATAAAATCATATCCCCCCCCCAGGACCAAAGAAAAAACATAAATACGGCACTTCATAACATTGAAAAGGGCATGTACCAGGTGCCCCCAAAAGTACCTTTTTTATACCAATTCCACACAAACTGCCTAGAGCAATATATACCAGTTGCCCTCATATTATGTTAATATATACATGATTACAATATAGCCCGTCAAATAGGGAAGGTAAATATACAAATAGTAAAATGGCTTCACTTAATTTTCGGTTATTATAATTATATTATTTATTACGAATTTTTTTTCTATAATTTTATACTATTTTTTGTTGTCAAATTATAACATTGAATGCCACATAATTATAATATTTATTATTTTATATATATTAGGTTTTATGGTCAGTTCTACAACCTACAGAAATGTCAAAACCAAATAAAGATAAGTGGATAGATATTTCTAAAACATTTATTCAAAAACCAATTTTCCAAACTGTCTTGGAGCTATAGATGGTAAGCACGTCAGATGCAAAAATCCAGAAAACTCCGGCTCTCTGTTCTACAACTATAAAAAATATTTTTCAATAGTATTAATGGCAGTGGTCGATGCTAATTTAAATTTTATATAGATACGTAGACGTAGGTGCATATGGTCGTGAAGCCGATTCTAGCGTTTTTCGGCAGAGTGTATTTGGAAAAATATTATACACTCGCGATAACTTACAATTCATTACCCAAATGCATTGCCTTTAACTGAAAACAATATTTTACCATTTTTTTTTGTTGCTGATAAAGCGTTTGGTTTTCACGCAAATCTGTTACGACCATTTCCAGGTCGTAAACTTAATAATACTCGTCCGGTGTTTAACTACAGGTTATCGAGGACAAATTACTGTCGAATGTGCTTTCGGAGTTTTGGCCAATAAATAACGAGTTTTGCACAAAACCATTTTAGTGGAACCAAATTTTTGTGACAATATTATAAAAGCATGTTATGTTCTACAAAATTTGTATAATTATAATGAAGAAACTGAGTGTATAATTTGGATAATTTGACAATACATGGAAGAAATGTTAACAAAAGATGAATAGTCGTAAGAGACAATTTCGCTGATTATTTTATGGCTGATGGAGCGGTACCGTTCCAATACAGAATGCTTTAGATAAACGTACCTATATATTTGATGTAATATATAATGACATCACCATATATTTGAATTTAATTGTATAAATTATATGCATCAAATAATAATGTTATAATAATGTTTTATCTGGTAAAAAGCAAAACATTAATGGAATATAAATACCATTTTTTAATCCATGAATTGTATATAGTTGAGTGCAATTTTTATCACAATAATTAAAAGTGCCATCAATATAAACTATTTCCAGTTTTTTCAAAAATTCAATATTAGTATCACATGAAAATATAATAATTTCATTTAAATCGTCATTTTCAAAAATAAATTTTTCATCTCTATTTGTTTTTACATCAATTGAACTCAAAGTATTATGAACTTCCTTTCTTGAATTTGGTATTTTAGGATAACAACTGGCTCTAGCATTTTGTACATTTCTGGAAATTAGCTTTATATCAGACATTAACAAATTACCTTCATTTTTATGATGTGTAAGTTCTCGTCTGATAATTTTTGATGGTTTTTCAACAACGCTGTCTACTGCTTTTCTTTTACAAGAATTATTTATTTTTTGCCGATTTAAAGTAGTTTCTTCCTCATGGGTATGTACAAAACACATTTTTATTTTCAACTAATTTTTCACTTTCATCGGTGTAACATTTAGCACGGCACTTATTATTTACACACATCCACGTACATATATTTGTTTTAGCGGTATGTTTCTTATAAAATTTATAATTATTATGGACTAAAAGAATTTTCCCCTTTTCACTCAACATGTAATCAATAATTAGGTCCATTTTTATAAATTGTAATAAAAACTGTTTAAATGTTAACTCTATTAATAATGAACGAGTACTGAAATCAATAAAATGGACTGTCCATACTATTTAATATTTTCATAGCCAACAGATAATAAAGATAATAAAATTGTAGATAGAATGTAATGCATTAAATTTTATCGCCACGTGGGAAAATACATATTGGTATATTTTTATAAACACAGTATGACTATACTGTAAAGTTTTATTAGATCAAACAAAATGTGATTTTTTCTATTATTATTATTTATTTTATACCTATACAAATAATGTGTGGAAGAAGAAAAAGTGGAGAAGAAGAAGTGAAGTGTTTGAGCTTTCGCAATAAACTAAATAAAATTTGATTTTTTTTCTAATTTCTATTATTATTATTATTTTATACCTAAAAAAATTGAATTGGATTATTTTTATCCAATACAAAAACAAAACAAATTTTAACCACACCAATTTCGTTTAAGTTGTCATTCCTAAGTCTTACGTACAGGTGTAATTTTTTCCGTGTGGGAACTTACGTACAGGCGTATTTTTTTTCGTGTGGGAACTTACGTACGGGCGTATTATTTTTCGTGAGGGAACTTACATATGTACTCGCTTACCTGCTATGTTTCGTGTGGGAACTTACCAAACCCCCTTGATTGCCACTAAAAGCCACATAATCTTGAGCACATAATAGTTCTAAATTTATTTTAATGCCATTTGACAAATAATTACAAAAATAAAGTTAATACAATACTCATTATAAGGTAGTATAATATGGTAAAAAGTTTTCCTGTTTCTATGGTTTTTTCCCTATCAATATTGGTCTTTAAAAAATAAATAAATAAAATTCTCGATTGCATTATTTAAACGGTGTTACGTATTGAAAAATATTTTTAGATTTTTGACCCTCGATAATTTACTTACACGGATTTTGCGTGACCTGTTTGTTAAAACCACTAGGGATTAAAGTTCAAAACAATTTAGAAGTTCCCATAATTAATGGAGTCAATTGAAATAAACAATATCAACAAGTACATCGAATTTGAAAAATTAAAGTTTATAACGAAGTAAGTTTTTTAATTTGAGTTGCAACATGTATTTGATTTTAAAATGGTTTATACAAATCGAGTATAAAACGGTTAAGGATTGAACGGATGTTTATTACTAGTTACAAAACAAGAGCTTATGTTATTTTAACGTTTATAAAAAAAAAAAACTACTGGATCCAAATAATGGTAAAAATCAATTTCATACCTTGAGGTATAAAAAAATAATGAACGATAGGTATATATCGATTCGCTGTTAAAAACCTTGCCGCTCCTTGCCAGGTATGGTGACCCAAACGTGGACGTCATTCCTGTGTCCGATCTGGTGTTTACCCAAAAGCTGTGGACGGGCAGTTTCGGCCACCTAGTGTTGGCCCGGCATTGTGCTACCGGCGAGTTGAAAACTGTGAAGGCGGTAAGCGCCAGAGTGGTGTCTACTTGGCCGAGGAATGTGAACGCTGACCGGAATGCCATGGCGGCAATGGGAACGTTCCCGTTCACGGTCCGGTTAGAGTGCTGGGCAGCAGATACCGAATGGTTATACCTGATTATGCCTATGGTGTCCGTCGGCAACCTGTTCGAGCTAGTGTCTGAACACGGCAGGCTCAATGAGAACGTAGTGCGATTTTTCTCCGCCCAGGTTAGGTTTACATATTATAATCGATAAATCATAACATTATGACCGTTGTTACGTTGGTCCCAGGTGCTGTAATCCGTTCCTTATGAGGTACAAATTTAATTTTTTTTTTTTAATACACTTATTTAATTACTTTTGAAAGTCCAGGATCAACACAAAATCATATAAATTCATAACGTTACCAACCTAATATATTGTGTTTCACTATTGATTGAAAATATAATAGTTTATACCTCGTTAGAAAAAAATCGTAACATGAAAAACGCCACTGAATTTTGAAATAAAAAAATCACGTACGGGTAGATCGTGCTGGGCGTCGAGTTCCTTCACGCTACTGGGCTAGTGCATCGAAACCTCAAGCCTGAAAATGTGCTGGTCAATGTCAATGGTTACGTGCGACTGTCAGGGTTTGGTGATAGCAAGCTGATCGGGCGGACCAGTCGCACCTACACGCTGTGTGGCACTCCCGACTACATGCCACCCGAGATGGTTGGGTTCCGTGGCTACGGTCTGGCAGTGGACTACTGGAGCCTGGGCATCATGCTTTACGAGATGGCAGCCGCGCATCCACCGTTTATAGGACCAGACGTTGGAGTGTTGTTCGGGCGGATCTTGCGTGGTGAATACCGGATGGACAACACATTCAGCCCACCTCTTAGAAACCTGATCCAGAACTTGGTCCAAGTAAGCAAATATTAATGATAATTATAATAATATCCACGCTTTATATTATAATCTCTTATTATAACGGCTTGTTCATCTTTTGATAAGCACCATTAGATGGGACAATATTGAGTAGGAGGGATGTCTCACCGACGATTATCGGTAGGTACAAAAATGATAGATCTACTATAATTGTTTTTATAGTTTAATGAAGATAAACACCGGGCGAATGTAAGTTCCCACACGAGATATAACAGGTAAAAATCACACCCGGGTAGATATATGTATACCTACGTAAGTTCCCACACGAAAAAAAATTATACCGAACACAAACTTCCTTCTCAATAAATTCAGACTTAAAACTGACAACTTAAACGTAGTTATTGGTGTGGTTAAAATTTTTTTTGTTTTTGTATAGCATAAAAAAGTCCAATTCAATTTTTAATTGAATGTATTCCATATAATATATAATAAAAAATAATAATATAATGTGTAGGTATGGTCCACATAATATATTATATTTGTACCTATAGGTAAAATAATAATAATAATAATGATAGATGGTCAAAATAGAAATACCTATGTATTATTCTATGTTATAGAAACAAAATCGATATCTGTAAATATAATCTCACATGGTGATAAAATTGAATGCATTACATTCTATCTACAGTTATCTTTATTACCTATTGGCCATGATCGTATGAAATAGTATGGACAGTCCATTTTATTGATTTCAGTACTAGTTCGTTACTAACAGAGTTAACATAGAGCAAACAGTTTATATTATAATTTATAAAAATGGACGTAATTATTTCTTACATGTTAAGTGAAAAGGCAAAAATTCTTTTAGTCCATAATAATTATAAATTTTATAAGAAACACACCGCGAAAACAAATATATATACGTGGATGTGTGTAAACAATAAGTGCCGTTCTAAATGTTACACCGAGAACGAAAAATTAGTTGCAAATAAAAATACGTGTTTTGACCATACCCATGAAGAAGAAACTACTTTAAATAAAAAATAAGTAAATCTTTTGAAAGAAAAACAGTAGACAGCGTTGTTGAAAAACCATCAAAAATTATCAGACGAGAACTTACACATCATAAAAATGAAGGTAATTTGTTAATGTCTGATATAAAGCTAATTTCCAGAAATGTACAAAACGCTAGAGCCAGTTGTTATCCTAAAATACCAAATTCAAGAAAAGAAGTTCATAATACTTTGAGTTCAATTGATGTAAAAACAAATAGAGATGAAAAATTTATTTTTGAAAATGACGATTTAAATGAAATTATTATATTTTCATGTGATACTAATATTGAATTTTTGAAAAAACTGGAAATAGTTTATATGGATGGCACTTTTAATTATTGTGATAAAAATTGCACTCAACTATATACAATTCATGGATTAAAAAATGGTATTTATATTCCATTAATGTTTTGCTTTTTACCAGATAAAACATTGTGAAAACATATATTATATTGAATTATTAAAAAAAAATAATGTAGTTGGAATAAACCCAAATAAATTTGTCTTAGACTTTGATATATCAATGCACCAAGCCATAAATATTATATTTCCGACAGCACAAATGTGGGGATGCCGTTTCCATTTGGGCCAAGCTTATTGCCGTAAAATTCAAAGCTTAGGGCTTGCATAAGAATTTAATTTTGCAAATTATGAATTAGGAAAGTAGCTAGTACATATATTTGGTTTACCATTTCTTAATCCAATAGAAGTTGTAGATTGTTTTATAGATAGTTTCATGGCTGAAAAACCAGAAAATAATAAAATAAATGAATTTTGCGATTATTTAGTGACTAATTACATCGAAGATACCAGTACGTTCCCCCCTAGTAGGTATTTGGGCTAGTGCTGGTTCTGATAGTAGCCTTACTACAAACTCTTGTGAAAGTTTCCATTCTGAATTCAACTCAAATTTTTATCATCATCATCCTAATATATTCAAAATAATAGAAGTTTTAAAAATGTTTCAAACAAATACATACTTATATAAAGATAAGAACATTAGATTTAAATAGACGTCAAAAAAGAAGAAAAACTAAACTATATCAATAATAAAATATCAGATTATAACAGTATGATAATTACACAGTATGAATTTGTGAAGTGTTTGAGCTTTCGCAATAAGCCAAAAAAAATTTGATTTTTTTCTATTATTATTATTATTATTTTATATTATAACTTAAAATTAATTACACAAAATGACTACCTATGTGAGGTGTTTGAAATTTTTTTTCTATCATTATTATTATTATTTTATACCTATACAAATATAATATATGTGGACCATACTTGCACATTATATTATTATTTTTTATTATATATTATATGGAATACATTCAATTAAAAATTGAATTGGACTTTTTATGCAATACAAAAATAAATAAATTTTAACCACACCAACTACGTTTAAGTTGTCAGTCCTAAGTCTGAATAAAGTGGGAAGGAAGTTTGTGTTCGGTATAATTTTTTTCGTGTGGGAACTTACGAACGGATGTATTTTTTCCGTGTGGGAACTTACGCACCTACTGATGTATTTTTTTCCGTGAGGGAACTTACATATGTACCCGCTTACCTGTTATCTTTCGTGTGGGAACTTACTAAACCCCAAAACACTTACCTGGCTTTAAATTATAACAATTAGTAATATCATTTTGGAAGGAAGCTCATATCTATCTTTTTTTTCTTAATATTAGTTAAACATTAAGACGTTAAACTAAAATAAAACACTAAAATATAAGCATTAAACAAAATACAAGATGCTTTACATAACGGAAGACCGATATGAATGTCTAAAAAATGTTGTTAGATTAGAACCATTGTTAAATAATACTCAGATAGCTGAATTATATAGAAAAATGGTTGTAGAATTTATTTTAACAAAATAATATTGTACTATCTGGTGAGGAGTTTTTGTATGTCTGTTTAAATAAGATTCTCATTAAATTATAATATATCTACCTTTATTTTATTTTAATAACAAGGGCCGAGAGCGTACGTCCTGTTGCTTACCCAAACGTTGACATAGATAATAATAATTGTTTACACATATTTTGTAGGTTATGCTTACACTATCAAGTTATAAAAAATGTGTCAAAAATACATTTCTTTTTTTTAAAGGTTTTTTGTTAATCCATAATTACAGTAAGCTTGAGTTATGGCATTGGTTAATGACTCGATGGTTTTAATAATACTTATACCTAGTTTACAAAGACCAAATGTTATTAGCAGGGCTTGGAACTTTATGCATTCGCATATTTCTTAAGAAGCTTTATATTAAAAATGCTAGTAGTAATCTAAATATAAAAATGTAAGTTACATATTTGACTAAGTTTACAAGATTTTGCATATTTAAATATCTTAAGCATATTATGTTATTGATTTAAAAAAAAAAATTAACTACCTTACACATCATCTATATTTTGAACTATACTAAGTATAGAGGCCTTCAGCGCAATAATGGACTAACCCATAATTAATCATATTGAGTTATAGGCAAAAACATAAAATGCTAATTTTATCGATCATTTTTTTCAAAAACCAAAAACGTAATAATTTTTGGTTTTTTTGCATATTAATTTTGATTAAAGGAGTTTTTATGATTGCTGAATTCATTATTTTGGAAATCACAGCCATTTTTGATTAAATATGGATTAGTCCATTTTTAAATCGTCTTTTTTTAATTGTAATGAGGGTTAGTCTATTTATTTATAAATTGTTGGTCATGTACTAATATAAATCATATAAGAATATTGTACAATGTTTAATGTTAAAAAAAAAAATGTTTCAAAACTAAATTAACGATACATTACCGTAAGACATTATACATATTATAAAATGTTAATATTAATAATTCTTATTCTACATTTTATAAAAAAAATTAAAACAAAACAAAATGTTTCCTTATAATATTATAATTTATTAACTTTTAAATGTTTATATTAATAATACGGTTTTAATATTTTATATAAAAAAAAAAAAAACAAAACAAAATTTTTCTTTATATTCATAAATAAATTCATAAATTTAACAAATACAATATTTAAAAAATGTAATGAGTAAACATTTATATTATTAATTTATTAAAGTTACCAAAACTTTTTTTTTATTCATCATCACTAGAGAAATCTATTAATGGAATTTCATTATCAATATTTTGAGCATTGGTCTTAAGGCTTTTATAAAACTCGTGGTAAATTGGTGGAACATAATCTAGTAAACATAACAAATCTTTCTTTTTCAGCGGATTTATACAGTTTCCATCAGGGTAAAGTAAATCTAAATTTGCGATTAGTGTGGTGTTTCGTTTTTCTAAATTAAGTTCACTAAATTGAGCAATATCATTGTTCGAATATTTGAAAAATATTTTGTAAGGCATTTCGAAAGAAAATCTCAACCATTGTATCTTTAACCACTCAACTTTAGATTTATCAACATCGATTTTGCGGTGTGTAATATTTTTTTCCAATTTTATTGTCGAAAAAAAAATCGCTTTTATTCATACAAAAGATTTTGAAAGGTTTTTTTTTGCGGCAAACGTTATTCCAGTGTTCTGGAATAAAAATGTTTGGAAACAACTTTTTTTGTTTTTCAACAAGACCAAAGTCTTGATCACACGGCAAGTATGAATGTCCACTTACCACAAATTTATGATCAATATTTTTAACTATGTATTCAGGACTAGAAACAATGTATTGACATAAAAGAGATAATTTAATATTGCGGTTTTGGCCACCACACTGATCGGAGTATATAATTAAATGTTATGTTGAAACAAATTTTTTTAAGAAATACAAAATGCAAGATCCTATTTCTTGGGGACCCCGAGAGGCAACTGACTCATCCCAGACAAACATGTAAACGTCACCGTTACCCATGTTGTGTATTCCGAAGCAATACGTCCATAGCTGCCGTTTATAGTAACAAATACCCGTTGATAGTAAAGGAGTGGTAATGTTTTCATAAAATCAAATGTTATAACTGTAACGTCTTCAGGGTTGTTTTTAGCCAATTCAGTGTCGCTTTGAAGACCAGTACGTGCACTAATTGCTTTTCTTTGATGTAATTACAATTCCTGTTTCAGATTATTCCTATGTGCTTCAGATTCTGCTGCTTTAATTTTTATATCGTATGCATCACATTTTCTACAAGAATCTGATACAAGAGGATGGAAAGATAAATTAAATTCTTCATTAAACATTTTTCTAAAAATAAAACTTGAAACAGGATTTGTAACTTGTTCAGTGTATAGTGTGTACAATTTGATAATATTTAAATCAGGAGCCATATATTTACGATTTGTCGATTTATGAAGGGCATAGTGGCTTTCGTATGCAGGAAATTTCTCTATGAAATTTTTTACTTCAGCAATTTTTTCCGGAGATGTCTTATTTGCCGATGGACCCTTTCCTCTACGATCACTGGGAGGGGTACTATTTTCTCCTTTATTTTTAAGTACCCTATCAATCCGCCCAGCTGATACTTGAAGTGTATTTTGGAAAATTTCTTTACAGACCTTTACTTCGCTTCCACTACAATCTAACAAACAATAGACCCGAGATTTTTGTCTTCTACTATTAGGATTTTGCGTATAAGAGCGTTGTTTATTGCAAACTTTAATCATTGTAAACAAATACGATGTTTGCATGTTCAAACTATCAAGACTGTAAAATTCATCAAAAATTTGTATTTGTCGTATCTCCGTTATTTTAATGTGACATTTATTAGAACAAGGGCCTACTTTTGGTTGTTTCTTAGGTACCACTTTTCCTTTAATATCATTATATTCTTTACCTTTTAAACACCTGTCCTTTCTAATATTTCTTTTCCACGTTGTTTCATTTTTTACCCGTTTTCGACCCTTTGGTTTAACTTGAATATTTTCACCTGATTCTTGGTCCGAAGGCGAAGAACCTAAGTTGCTTAGTTCAGACTGTTCAGAGGGATTATATTCTGAACCCGAATCAGCAAGCTCTGATAACTCATCATCGCTTTCTAATAAACCTATGAATTATTCCTGTAATTTAGTATATAATAATTATTATTATGCATTAGAAAATGCAATAGGTAACACATTAACGGTACTCACGTTGCAGTTCATTTTCAATGTCCATGGTGCTGAATTAAAACAATTAATGAACATAAACTTTATACCTACCTAATAATAAATCAATTTCACAGCAACTCATTACGCGTTGTATATAACAACAAAATAAAAAAAAGCTTTATTAATTTTATACGTTATCTTTTTTAGATCGTTGTTTAATGATTTCGCATAAAAATATAAGCTATTAATTATAATCATAACCATTAAAAAATATAATAATCATTAATAGCCACGGATTAGATTTTTTTTTATGTAATCTGTGTTAGGTATTAGTCACACGGATTTTATATTTTTTACTAACACTTTATACTGATAAGACCGTAAAGTTTAAGCACAGTTTAAAGAATATAATATTATTATATTATTCTTTGTACTGTGGTTCAAATGGACTAACCCACATTTAATAAAAAAAAAAAAGATGTAAAAATGGACTAAGCCATTTTAGTCCATTCTTGCTTTTAAAAATATTTATAACTTTAAAATTCAAAAACGGTTAAGGTGCTGCCATCTAGTAAATATTTAGTGAGGGTGGCTTAGACCGTTTACGAATTGAATTATATGGTGTATAGTTGCAATTAATGTCATTAACTCAATTATTGTAAATTTGTGGGTTAGTCCGTTATTGCGCTGAAGGCCTCCTATATTATCGAGAAATTGAATTGATTGTAATTTATCAACCCTGTAAATACGATTATTTTTAGCAAGAACTGTGAGTACAATATACATCACATACATACCTAGTTATTGTCATTGTATTCATTTGCTATATTTGATACATTAAAATTTTTACATTTAGGACTGAATAATCGAAAAATATTTTAAGATCTACAAACCAAAAATAAAAATTATACCTAAATTTGTACCTACCTAATTAAAAATAATTTTTCATTTTTAAGTTTATTAAAATATATAAATACCTACATGTTTAAAAAAAAAAATACTTTATATTATTATAGTGCAAATGGTAATTAGTTAATTATGGCATATTTAAGCTTTTTTTAGTGTATATGTAAGCACATATATTTCGTTATTGTTTAGCGCATAAAGTTTCGAGCCCTGGTTATTAGTATCTAATAAGTAATAAGTTCGATATCGTTCGAACCCGAAGAATAATGGTAGTAATCATTGTACCTACAATAGTTACTGTCATAAATTCATATAAAAATCATTTGGATCATAAATGTCACTTGTTATACGTGAGTAAGTACTCAAACACATTTTTTTTAACTACCTATTTAAGATACTACTCAAATACTTTAATTGTATAGTATTTCAAATACTACTCAAATACTTTGAAAAAGTATTTGGAATACTTTTCAAATACTTTTGGTTTTTAAAGTGGGTTTATTATTATTGTAATATAGACACATAGGTAGTAAATTTATAATCATTTTTATTTATTATTTATTAATTAAATGTTTACTACATTTTTTTTTTATTTTTACATGGAATTTACAATCGGTTCTTAACTAGAACAATAAGCAAATGTGCATAGGGTATTTGCGTATGATTTTTTTTTGAGGGAAGAAACCACCCATTGGTGATACTACCTATTTTGTGTTCTTAATTCATTCTAAAATTTCTAAAATTATTTCGAATAAAAATAAAATGTTCGAAATAAAAAACCAAAGTATTCAATACCAAAAAGTATTTAATACAAAAAAAAGTATTTAAAATACCATTCAAAATACTTCATGTTGAAAGTATTTAAAAAGTTATTTAATACTTAAAAAAGTATTTGAATACTTTTACTCAAATACTTTACAGGACTGCTTGTTACATGTATCCCAACTACGTACCTATTACAGTACCTACCGCTGAATTAGGCTGATTCGTGGTTAAGTAAAACATACTAGGTAATTTCGATCATCTGTTATTTGTGGTGATGTCATTTTATTACATAATATGGAAGTATTTATAGTTGATTTTTAATTCTATTATCATGTACGTATGGTACCTTTCTGTCTCTCTCCTACTGAAGAAATAATATTATTAACTGCCTAAAAGTGTTTTGACATGGATAAGATAAATAAATAAATAAGATAAATATTATTTGTTATTTAATTATAGTGATTTTAATAGTTTATTTTAATTGATTGTTACTAAAAGGATCGCGTTAAAGCCAAATTTAAACACATATTTATATATGGTATGCCGTACACGCTGCAGCGTTTTGTCGAAATTTGCTTCTACAAAGTTCGACATGTCGCGTTTTGGCAGCAGCTTGATGCCGCATGATATTCTTGACCGCTAATAAGTAAAACCAATGGTTTTCAATTATGTGTGTGGTGTGTCACATTACAAAGAGAGTTTTTGAAGATTAAATTTTTAAATTTTTAAAATGAGTGTTTTTGATCCTGCAAGTTGAAAAAGAAGAGTGCTTATGGAAAACAAATCCCAAAGAGTTCATGGTTGTTCGCTATGCAAAAACCGCGGCCTGGAAAAAAGTATTATCAAGTACCGATATTTGATGATGGGGTGTAACCTTCAACAAGAAAAAGCAAGAACTAAAAGGTAAGTTTAACTTTGAATAATGTTTATTACAGTTTATGAAATTTTTCGTTTCAACATAATTTGTAGCTGCTATGCTTCTTAGGTATATAATATAAAAATATATTATTAAATACTAACTTGATTTTATTTTGAAAATAAACGAAATTTTTTTTAGAAACTAGACTACGTACCTATATTAATCTATATCTACGTAAAATTATAATAAAAGTACAACTTTATTATTGAATTAAATGTGAATATGTCTATAGTAATAATATAGTACCTATATCGTTCGTTGTTAGACTCCGTACAGACTACACGTTACTTATCGCGTATCACGAGTACCGATTTTAATAGCTTCCGATAGCAGTATATTATACACTCACCATATCGCAGGTAATATGCTCGTTATTTATACTACCAGATAATACACGATATACCCAGAGGGCGTAAGCCCATCACACTATAAAATGTTTACAAAACCACCGGCTATAAAAAGCCCCTCTAATCGTCACCCAATTCATTCAAAAGATTTACAAAAACAAAAAAATAAAACGTCATCAAATTCACCCAAAATCAACAAGGATATCAACAAACAATCATTCGCCTCAACTGTTGCAAGCAGCTTAATACCCAAAAAAAGACCAAGCATTATTAATCGATATAGACGACAACGTCCCACACACAAATTACATCATCGCTATCAGAAATTTAGTCCAACCATCTAACATTTTATTTGCGTCCCGTATATCAAAAGGTCGCTTATGCATCTTCCTTTC